TTTGCACTGTGTGTGAAAATGTATTCCTGTGATTGGGGTAGGAAAAAGCTGAACAGCCAAGAGCTAGGCAGAAGGTATAGGTGGGACTTCCAGGCAGAGAGAGAACTCTGGGAAGAAGAAGGCAGAGTCATCAGCCTTCTGGACGAAGCAGCCTGGTCAGTAGAGAGAGATGATAGAACAAGCCACACAACAGAACGTAGATTAAAATAAATGGGTTAATTTAAGTTATAAGAGCTAGTGAGATAAGCCTAAGTAAGCTAAAGAAGAGCTTTCATAATTAATAAGTCTCCGTGTCATTATTTGAGAGCTGGCAGCCCAAAGAAAAATCCAACTACAGTAATCCATATCATCATAGATTAGTTTTGTCTGTCTTGTGCTTTCTATAAATCAAATCACAATGCAATTGTTTTATATTGCTGAGTAACAAATTACCACAGACCCTGTAGCTTAAAACAACAGAAATCAATTGTCTCAGTTTCTGTATGTCAAAATCCAAGGCTAATGTGGCTGGATTCTTTTTCCAAGGCCTTACAGGGCTTAAACAAAGGTGTCAAAAAGGACTATGGTATCATTTAAGGGTTGGGGTCCTCGTCCAATCCCACTGGTTTTTAGCAGAATTCATTTCATTGCAGTTATAGTACTGAGGTTAGTGTCAGCAACTAGAGGTCACCAACACTCCTTGCTTCAAGACCTCTTCCAATTTCAGGCCAACATATCAATTTTTTTCCATGTCAGCAGCCCAAGAATATGTTCTGCTCTTTTTCTGAGTGAAAAATTGTTTTCATCTTTAATAAGTAGCAAGATTACACTCTCTCTTTCTCTCTCTCTCTCTCTCTCTCTCTCTCTCTCTCTCTATATATATATATATATATATATATATATATATAACATAACTATTTTAAAATAAATAAATTTCTTTCTAAATGTTTGTATTCTTTGACATTTTCATACAATTGTCTAATTAAGTTTTGATCATTTTATTTTAAAATTCCATGAGATTAATTTGAATCACCAGAATATAATCTCGTTTTGTTCGGGCAACTGATGTGAAGCTTTCATTGCATCTTTAAACTTTTTCCTGCTTCCTTGAACAGTCAAAACAAGGTACATCCATACTGGGCTCATGGAGTCTTGGAAGGCCATTTTAGAATTCTGTGTGCTATATACAATTTTTTATATGTGGTTTCTTTCATTCAACGTTTTATTTATGAGATTTTCCTATATTATGAGAGACTATATAGCCTGTTGCTATGAATTATGCCATTGTTTGTTGAATACGTTACATATTTGTATCCAACATTTGTTCATATTGATGAGCATTATCATTTTATTTTCTTGTATTGATTTGGGACTTATGATGTTATTTTCATATAGGATTTCACTATGTAGCTCTAACTCTCCTGGAACTCACTCTATAGATCAGGCTAGCCTGGAATTTACAGAGATCTTCATCTTTGCCTCCGAAGTGCTGGGACTAAAGGTGTGTGGCATCACTGCCCAGCTTGATATGGAATCATACTGTGCAGCAGAGAATAGAGAGGATTAGAGCTAATACTCCTCCGGGTTTATTAGGAATGGAACATAAGATAGCATAGGCAAATTTTAAGTGCTGAGCTATTTATGAGTAGCTCCATGAACAAGACTTTTCGTGAACTTGTATACATACAAAGTGGACAATAAACAATCTTTTGGTTACAAACTAGTAAGATTTTTTGAAGTTCTTTGTTAGTATAAAATAATCCAGTATGTTCCATGTGAGCCATAAGCCTAAAAGTAGAAATGGTATGACCAAAAAGAATAGATAACAGCCTATTGCCACCAAAACAGGAAGTCCTGGATTGGGGTGATGGCTCAGTCAGTAAAGTACTTACCTTGCTAGTACAGGGGTCTGACTTGAATCCTCAGGAACCCATGTAAAAAAGCTATCCATATTTATGGTGTACACTTTCAGTCCCAGCGTAAGAAGATAGATACCCAGGACTCAGTGGTCAGATGGTCTAGCCTAGTTGGTGAATTCCAGATCAGTGAAAGACCCTGTCTCAAAACTTAAGGTGGGTGGTTCCTGAGGAATGACATCGAAAATTTTTCTCTGGCCTCCACCTGCACACACACACACACACACACACACACACACACACACACACACACACACGAAAGGAAAAGAAAGTTTCGTGAAGAGTGTATGACTGTAGTCCACTTGGCACAGCCTTACCACCACATGGTAGGATATGTGTCTAGGTATTCATGAACTCTGGCCAACCTAGATTTTACCTTTTACACCTATAAGATACTCCTCTGTCAAAAGCACCAAGGGAATGTGCCTTGTCCAGCTCTAGCAGTTCTCCCTTACTGTCATGAAGCATCCCCACATATTTCATACGTTTACTGGGTTATGATGTTTATTGCTAGCTTCCTATCTCCACCTACTAGGGTGCAAGCCTCTGCTTTGTGGGCATCTGTTAATTGTTGGTGCCCAGGAATGGCCTAGAAGAATGCCTGATAAACATCCCAAGTACTTAAAAGTATTTGTTGAATAAATGAGTAAGTTAAATATTAACCAAAGACATGAACTTTACATGATGATTATTTTTAATGATGAATTAATTTCATAGTTATAGTAAATATTTTTTAATATATGAACAATTAAGATACTGGAGAAACTTTTTTTGAACTTAGATAAGGGAAATTTTTTAATTATGTTTTCATATGCATTGACTTTCTGTGCTCCGTATCCTCTATCTCATTTTATTTTATTCACATGATTTACAAATTAGACAACTTTCTCAGGTGCCCTACATTCTTTCTGACAACTGAGAATATACTCTGTAGAAAACTACATATTCAAAGATGCTCCTTTCATAGAGCAAGATACCATATAAAAACAGTAACAATGAACAATGAGAGTCTGTAAATTCTGTCTCCTTTCTCCCAGAAACTAATCACTATTCTACTCTTCTTTCAAGATCAGACACAGCTGGAGTCAAGAGAAGAGCTGTCAAAGATAACTATCTTCAATGATGCTAATGTTCTTCGTCTGCATTCTTCAATATGATAGTCACCAATATAATAGTCACTACCTGTGTGTAGCTACTGAGTACTTCAAACACAGCTACTGTGACTAAGAAACTATATTTTTCAATACTGAGGATTTAACCTAGAGCTTTACACATGCTAGGCAAACAGTGCCACAGAGCTTTCTTCCAACTTCATTCTCCTCTCACCTTTTAGTTTTAAGACTGGCTATCACTAAATTCCTCAGCTAACCTTGAACTCACTACATGGTTCAGGCAGGCAATCCTCATGCCTCAGCCTTCCAAGTAGCTAGGGTTACAGATGTGCATCACTAAGCCTAAGTGGAGGAGGTTGGTTTTGTGTGTGTGTTGCTATATTGTTCAGTTCACCCTGGGCTCACATACATAGAGGCATCTGATGTAGGCTGGGGATCCTCCGGGGGTAATGATATTACTGCATTGGGTAATGAGGCAGAAAAAAGTCCAGTCTAGATAGGTTACCCAATAAATAAAAATGCTAGAACCAGGGCTTCAAAGAAAAAGAATATTACCTACTTTGAGATACTTCTTGGAGCACAGAGTAACTGGCTCTACTGTACTGTTATGAAATTAATTTGAGGTTGAGAAACTGTGATATATTACAGCTATCAGTCTCTCTGGACGGCTTTACAATCAACATGTAGGATATGAAAAAAGAAAGATGCCAATAACATATTAATGTGGTACTCGGTGTTCAATCTTCTTTATGCAGCAGAATATTACAGCTGAGGAAAAAAAAAGATCAAAAAGTTGGTTCTCTTTTATACAAAGAAACAGAAGAAGGAAAGTTGAACTTTAAATTATCCTATCTGTCGCTTCCCATTGATTGAGTCTTGTTCATTAAGATAAATTCCAAGGGAGACTATCATTTTTATCCTTTGAGCTCTCTAAAAATATATATGCCTTTGGCTGCCCTGCTTTCTCTCTTTTTCTTTCCACCTTTTATTCTTTCGCTTCTTTGCCTGTATAGGCAGCTGCCAAGGAGGAACTCTGCGTTCTATCCCATCGTGCTTCCTTTTCTAATTGGGTTCCTCTGGAAATACACGTACCTGCAGTTTAACACCTGATACCTACTAACAGAAATGCCCAAGTGAAATCAGACATGGCCCTTTCCTCGGCTTTGCATGCCGTCCTGCTACAAGAAGGCTGTGTGATTCCTCACTAAAAGAAAAGAACCCAAACTCAGCCAGCTCTACCATAAACTAGCTGTGGGATCTTGGGGGAGCCTTTCAGCCTAATTCTCAGCTTCCACATCTGTTGAAAAGCAGATAATAATGATGAGCGCAAGATGGCTAAGTGAGCTTGCTGTATGGCTTTTGGCATTCTCCCTTCTTTCCCAGCAGGCTGATTCTTTCTCTCACACACACTCCGCCTATGGACTAATACTGATGTGATGTGGACATTCCTGGTAACTGGCAGATAGCAGGTGCTCAATAAACATGAATGCATTCCTCTTTCCACTCTGTTCTCAGCAAAGCAGCTAGAGCGGGATGTTAAACAGCTGTCCCTTGTTCTTCCCCTTGCCCTTCATTGCCAGGGATAAAGTAACAGGACAAAGCAGGAAGCATTCATGCTCACAAATCAACAACTTGGGGCCAGATGGACACCGTGCAAAGGAGAAAAGTCAGCAGTTGATCCTCATTGACACACTCCATTCTCCAGCCCTCCCCCACCCCCGACCCTGGGAACCTTCTTCCCTAGGGCTTCTATCTATAGACTCAGTTCCAATCTTGTCCCTATTCACAGTTAAAATGTGCTTTGTTTGTTTGGTGCTGGGATTGAACACAGATCCTTGTAAATGGTTATCACACACTCTACAGTTAAGCTACACACCCAGCCTCTAGAATGCATTGTTCTGAGCATATTATCTCAGGCATCAAATAATGGGAGAATTCTTTCCATTTTAAAGCTTTTTTTCCTAATCCTGGCTATAAATCTTTGTCATTCCAGGCTTACAGGGGTGTGCCAACGTCTGATGCCTCTTGAACTGCAGATGTGACCCACCATTTTCTTAGTGGAGATTGCTTGAGTAGTCTCCACATGAAGGAATTTCTCCTAGATTTCTGTCCATTTGAACAAGCGAGGAGAGCAGTGAACAGTTTGTCTGAGGTGAGGGTAAGGGATGTTAAATACAATTCTAGAAGCAGTTTTAAAGGAGGTTTCTGGGAAGACTATTTGGAAATGGGACAAGGCTTGAGATGCTTGAGAAAAGCAAGTTGAAGGAACAGGTTTAGGACCACAGTATGGGGCAGAAGCAGGGCAAAACAGAGGACCTCTATCTCAAAAAGAGGCTGTAGGGGAAAAGGCAAAGAATTCTTCATGCGACTAAAGTCATTCTTCACAGTCTTTTGAGGATTCCAAAAGTATTGAATTTTAAGGATTTGATGAGATTAAATTCTTTGGAGGAAAGGGAATCGAGACACCATATTTCATGGAGAGATGGCGAAACATAAAGGGTTTTCAGTCCCCACCCCAGCCCCATACATAAACTCTAGGTTCAAAATTGATGCAGCAAGGCTATTTGTTTTTTAGAGAAAAGGATCTGGGGCTGCCTTTTCACGGAGGACAGATTATCAGATCCATCTTCGGAGAACTCAAGTTTATCCTAATCAACTCCAAAGTTGCCTTAAATTCCGCAGCTTATCAAGCAACTACATATTCACATTGGGAAAAGGGAGAACTCATTGCTACTCTTTACTGATACAGCTAATAGACTGAAATATTTTTAAATGATAATCACTAATGACTTTACACTGTTACCTAAATACTTGCTCATAACAACAAATAGACTCTACTCATTTTTATAACTGTGATAAAACTGAGGCAAAATCACTTGCCCAGGTTCACAGAGCTAGCAAGTTGCAGAAAAGAATACAAAACTCAGCTCTACCACAAACCATATTATGGGATAATGTCTTAGTTACTCATCTATTGCTGTGAAGACCATGAGTGAGGCAACTTACAAAAAAAATGTTTGTTGGGGCTCAGGGTTCCAAAGGGTTAGAGTTCATGATCACCGCATTGGGAAGCATGGCAGCAGGCAGGCATGTTGCTGGACCATTAGCTAAGGGCTTGTATCCTGATCTGCAATTAGAGGCAGAGAGAGGGAGAGGGAGAGGGAGAGGGAGAGAGACAGAGAGAGACAGAGAGAGACAGAGAGAGAGAACTAACTTGGAATGGTATGGCCTTTTGAAACCTCAAAGCTCACATCTAGCAACACACCTCCTCTAACAAAGCCACATCTCCTAAATCTTCCCAAACAGTTCCACCAACTGGAGACCAAGCATTCAAATATATGAGCCTATGAGGGACATTCTCATTCAAACCACTACAGATAGGTACCCACAATAGTCCAGACTTGAAGTGTAGATAGTCAACATTATTATAGTGACAAGCAGGCCTTCAAGTTTCAGGGCACTCAGAACAACATTTAAACATTTTTCTAGGTAAGCATAGTGATCAGAATGTCAGTTTCAAGTGTTTGCTTCTGAAAAATGATAGAGACTTATCCAGTATTTGATTAAGCCAATGAGACACATCCTGGGTGGGTGAGGCTTTCTTTCCACCTTTAAATACATGGTCCCTAAATGACTGCATATACTGTTGAGTGCAATAAACATTTCTGCTTCAAAATTCATGAAATTTGTTGAATTTTTATAGATATGGGGTCTTGTGTGTTTAAATCTTTTTTATGTATGTGTTTGCATGCATAGCATGTGCACCTCAGTGCCACAGAGGTTAGAAGAGGGCAAACCCCATGGAACTAGAGTCACAGATGCTCGGGAGTCACTACTTCGGTGCTGGGAACAAAACAGGTTCTCCACAGGAATAGCAAGGGCTTTTAACTCTAGAGCCATCTTTCCAACTCCTAAATATAGGTTTTCTTCCTTCACCTTTCATGCCCTCTGTGGTTTTAGTTGACAACAGGCATCTATTAGTAGAAGGAGAGTGTTTTAGAAAGAAAAAAGGGTATGCTGGGAAGCCACTTTTTCCACTCTTCTATCATTTAGCAGCTACTGCCCCACTTGAGGACATGGTTTTTGGATGTCTTAATGGACTATACAGACAGGCAGCAATAAAACATACACGCGTTGTAGTAGTTGGCTTAGAAAAACAATCTATTCCTTTCAATAATTTTTAAGGGCACAATATGTTTGTTCCTTTTTTAATCAACTCTCCAGAACAACAAGAGATCTAGAAGCAAATGGGAGGCATTTTATAGAGTAATGAAGCCAGCCGCCGCAGCATAGAAATAACAGGTTCTGACAGGTTAGTTTAATTTGTCTTTGTATGCAAACCTCAAGCATCTTCCCTATTGTTCTATCTACTGTCATCTTAGATATACAGGGCCTTTCATTGACTTTATAAATAAATTGTTCAAAAGCATCCTACACTAGAATGAAAAATAATTACATTAGGATGCTTCTCAACTTCCCTGTGATGGCATGCCATTATGACTGATAGCCATGGAATTGTCAACATGTTTCACTTTGCTCTACTTCCTATATTAAAGGAAATTTGGAAAAAGATTTATCTTTCTAGCCAGATGTGGTGGTGCAAGTCTTTAATCCCAGCACTCCAGAGACAGAGGCAAGGGGATTGTGGCAAGTTCAAGACTAGTCTGAGACTCATATCAAGTGCCAGGCTAGCCAGTACAATATAGCAACACCCCATCTGTGGTCATTTGAATGTAATTGGCCCCCATTATCTCATAGGGAGTGACACTATTAGGAGGTATGACTTTGTTGGAGTGGGTATGGCCTTGTTGGAAGAAATGTGTCACTGTGGGGGGATGAGCTTTGAGGTTTCCTATGCTAAGGACACGACCCAGTGTCTCAATTGACTTCCTGTTGCCTGCAAGATGTAGAACTCTCAACTACCTCTACAGTACCATTCTTACCTGCATGTTACCATGATGATAATGGATTGAACCTCTGAAACTATAAGCGAGTCACTCCAATTAAACGTTTTCCTTATGAGAATTATCATGGTCATGGTGTCTCTTCACAGCAATAAAAACCCAAAGACACCATATCAAAATTTGTATTTCCTTCCTTCCTTCTCATCAACTCCAGGACTTTGCACATGCTAAGCATGCATTCTACCACAGAGCTACACAATTAGCCCCTCTTTCTCATTTATCTGGAATAGAGTGTCCTGTCACCCTCTCATATATTTTAGCTCTAAGATATACTTTTCATCAAGAAATTTAATTAACATTATTTTCTTGTGTTCTTCTGAATGATACAGTCTCACAATGACATACATCACAATAATTACTCTAAGCATGCAATGGCCAAACTTTTTTTGTATAAGGGAGTTACTTCCTACAAAAGTACATAACCCTCAAAAGGAGGAGAAGGTAATGTAAAAACAGGGGTTGGGTTGAAAATGGGAAGGGGTTGAAGTGCAAATTAAAAGGACAGGAAAAGGGATCAAGAGACAGAACAGAAAAGTCTTGAGTTAAGAGCAGTTGTGATGGCGTTACTGAATGGACTAGGTTGAAATGCTGAACCAAATGAGTAACTAATTATCCAAAAGAGATTAAGTTTTAAACCAGAAAAGACTGAGTCATTTCAAAGAGACAAAGTGTAAGTAATGCCCCCCCCTTTGGAGGAAATGAGGAGTCATGAGCAGGTGGCGATCAGTTATAGCGAGATGAAGTTATTTTTTTGCACAAATGACTCACAGATCTGCAAGAAGACTCTAACACCCACAGAATTTCCAAATGACGTCAAAAATGCTTGCATGTCCTCTGGTAATTTCCCCTTGATCTGTAGCTAAATGCTAGAGAATGGTAGTTTCATCATATATTGTCAGCTGTTAAATGAAGAGAGATGATTCATAGATCAATACATACAAAATAAACTGAGTTACATAAAAATGAGTGATTGTAATTGCAATCACTTTTTAATTAAATTTATTCTCTGAAAATTTTGCACATGCCTATAATGCACCCTGATTACTCTCTCCCTCTACCCTCTTTTATCTACCTCCAACCCCGTCAGTCCTCCCTCCTCCTTACAAAATTTTCCCTTCACAATTGTGCCTTTTTGTTTTGTGACTCCCTGAGTTTAAGCAAGGCTGTCTGTGTCACCATGGGGTTTGAACTATTCATTGGAGCCTTGTGGGCACACAATTGAAGACAACACTGTCTCCTCTCTCAGATCCTGTCAGTAGCCAATAGCTCGGCACTAAGGGGTGGAACCCCGTTTTAGCTTTATTTCTGTTGCTGTGATAAAATATCCTGACAAAGAGGAGAAAAGATTTCTTTTAGCTCACAATCCCAGATTACTGCAGGGAAGTCAAAGCAACAGGAACTTGAAGCTGCTCGTCAAATCCATAGAAGAGCAGAAAGAAATGAATTATGCATGCCTGCTTGTGCTCAGCCACCTTGCTATGCTTAAACTGTTTGCAAACCAGAGACTGGCGCCATCCACAATGTGTGCATCTTCCACATTTAAGGCAGTTAAGACAATTCCCTGCAGACATGCCCACAGACCGCCCTCTTCTAGATAATCCTTCAACAAGATTCTCTTTGCAGGTGAGTCTACACTGTGTCAAGTTAACAGTTAAAACTAACTGTTACAGGTCCCATGTGTCCCTCTCTCATCCATGACTGCCTGTTGACAGGGCCAGGCTGGTGCAGGCCCAGTGCCAATAAATGCAGCTGCTGTGGGTTCATGCTATTGCAAGGGTTCTTAGCATCATTGTTGAATGCTATTATGTCTCTTCCAAGAGGGGATAAGCAAATTAAGGTTTTCAAACACACTTGCCAGGGAATTAGTCGTTCATAAGATGCATATTAATAACTTATTGGCCTAATAGTCCCTGAAAATTTTTGGGAAAGAAAGCTTTTTTCTTTAAAGTACTTTACAGGAGATCTAGCTAGGGCACAGACAGAGGCTAGGGATGACAGTTTGTAAAGTATGGACAAAAGAAAAGCTTTCAGAACCAGTGAGATAGCTGAGTTTGATTGAGACCTAGAACCCATATAATGTAAGGAGAGAACCAATTCCTAAAAGTTGTCTTCTGACCTCAACACGCATGCCACAGCATGAGCATGCTCATGCACCCACATGTATGCACACACTAAATAAATGTAATTAAGGAATTTTTAAATTAACTTACTTCTTGTTTTATTTTGTTGTTGTTTGTTTGTTTGTTTTTAGGGAAGTAGATAATCCTCTGGCTCATATAAGTATAGTTTCTTTCAGTGACTGCCACAGCATATCTAGATGTGAGCAGGGATGATGCTGGGTATAGCCCAACCTTTCTAACGTCAATCAAGAGGGTAAACAGTGGGGTCTTCCAAGCAGCAAGAAAATCTTGGGCCTTCACAGTGTCCAATGACTGCAGTTAAATATGATGAGGTGGGACTAGAGTGATGGCTCAGAGTTAGGAGCACTTTCTGCTCTTGAAAAAGGTCTGCGTTTGAATCCCAGAACCCACATGGGAGCTCCCAATCATTTGTAACTCCACTTTCATGGGATCCTATACCATCTTCTGCCCTCTGAGAACACCAGGCATGTACATGGTTCCCATACACACATGCAGGCATTCAGACACAAAATAAAACAAATAATTATTTTAATAAAACCCATAAAAATAAAAAGTTAGGCATTTGGTCAATAATCTCTAAT